TTAAGCTAATCCTGTTTAAAGTCAGCACAGGCCTGAGAATGCACATATTCTCCTTAACATGTAATGGTTTCCTTTTTCCTACTCATTACATATGACATCTAGCTTTCTATGCGCCGTATGTTTCTTGGTGGCCTTGTTCTTTAATGCTAGGCATAATTAAATGAGTAAAAGCTCAATGAAAATCCAATACAGCTTAACTCCTGTGCTTGAATATTTCCCATATTAGAGAATGCTGTTCCAGTTGGACCATGAAGAACATATTCCATACAAATAAAACACGTTATATACAGCTTCTGTGCCACCTAAAATTCAGTCACGGCCCTTATTCCCTTTGATGCTCATTCTGTATAGACCTAAGATGCAAGCATCAAGCTTATAACCTATCCTGTTATTTTGAAGATGTAATACTCACTATACTTCTCTACTAAAGGAATGCTATTTCTAAGCCAGATTTAAAGAACTTTCTGGTTTTCTATATGTCTAACTTGTCCAAGAGCTGCAAGGCCAAACTTTAGCCCTACAAGTACTGCAGCATTTGAAGCAAGCACTGTTTGGACTGATATGTACACATGCTCTCAAGCTGCTCTTCAGTCACAGACAACTAAATTACTATCTAGCACAATTGCATTCCAGGCGTGACTCTCTTCTCCTCTCAGTTATGCTACTCCATGCAGCAAGTTAGTGTCCTATATAGACAGTAGCTAGAATGATGTATCAATGTAATTTGTGCACAGGAGCCATCATATGATTTGAAACCGTGTCTTCCACAAGTCAGGCATCTGAACAATTGAATTTAAAGTAACACCAAGCTAGGGTAAACCAGCCTGAGACAGATAATGAGACCAAAAATAATTAATGGATTATGTATTTCTATAATCTAATAAACCTGAAAAGGTGAAGTATTGTGACAGCCTATTGTACTGGAAGAATGAATTTTCACAATGAAGGATAAAATTTCTTTTTTAAATAAGGAAGTATCTATCTATACAGCTATGCTTGCTTATAAAAAATAACAAACATAAAATGCTTTAGGTTTTTATGACAACAGCAGTTTACGGTGATCTAAAAAAACTACATCACTTTGAATGGAAAAACTACTCCAAAACGTTGAAGAGTCATGCAGCTGACAGATCTCAATGGTGCTTATTTATATTCCTATTTTCACTTTTTAAACAGAGATCATTTCTTTAATGGGTATTTAGCCACACAGTTGCTTGCAGAACATGTTCAGGTGGCAGAAAGGATTGCCTGAGGGACACTTCATTGGAGGAAGTGGCAGCATGATGTTTGTATAAATGGTTAATAAAATCTGCATGAGCCAGTACTAAGAGTTTCATCACATGCTCTGAAAGCCAGCGTACTCAAGTGCTGTCAGCTGCAATTTCAGCGTCAGCTTGTCTCTTTGGACACAGGCACTGAAGTGGATATGGCTCCTGGAATAGCTAGTGCCCCAGACAGATAGTGCCTCTGAGGAGATAATGGAAACGGAGCTACAGATTCAGTGCTCCCTTGCTTATGGCTGTAGCTATAACTTTTAGAACTAAACCTGTTTTTCTTCAGCTTGAGGTTCATAATACATAAGAGGCTCAGACAGCACAGGATTGAAAGCAAAAATTAGCAGAGGGTTGTGTGAAAAATGGATACTGAGGAAAAATAAAAGTTATATGCAATTATGCCTGCGTTACGAAAAGGCAAGATGTTTCTCATTATGATAACAACAATAAAATATGCAGGAGATGTACTGTGTCTTAAGGCTTACAATTACTAGGGTTTAGGCAGAGCAAAAGTCTTGGGACACATGCTGAGTATGAAACCATAAAGCAAGCCTCTGCTGAGGCTGGCACTAGGTAGTTGGGTAACCAAAAGAATCCAGCAAACAGAGAGGGAAATCTTCTGGGATGTAACAACACAAAGGACATGCAAAGGTTTGCCCAGAATGGATGAGATTGCAGGAGCTGGTTTGTGCCCTCACTTGTGACTGACGGCATGGGAAGGATTCAGATTACTTGGGCATAGATTCCCAGGAAAGTGGTGGTGAGCAGGATATTATTTCATCAATGTCATTTTCCCTTGCAACAAAGCCTAAGTTCCACTATCCACCATATTTAATTACGCCATTTTAAGTCCCTTAAAATAAGAAAAAACTATTATAAATAAATATTATCTAGCTACAGTATGAGAGCTACAGATAATATTAGTTTCACCTGGTGCATAATTACATACTATCATCTATATCTTCACAATCCAGAGCATTCATGTTGACCAGCTGCCTATAGCAGAAGCAAAAGGTTCATAGTCAACAACACACAGCAAGAGGAACATTAATGTTGGTAGTCAGAGTTGCTGCAGCTTCTTGGCTCTAACACAGCACGGGCAATCTATTCCTGATAAATATTCTTATTTATCACACTCTAACCTCTGATTTAACCTGAAAACTGAACTTAGGTTTCTATATGGCTAGGTTCAGTGTCACAGATGAAAAACCCCTACCCTGCATTTTAGAGGACATAATTCAAATTGTCTACATTTTCCTCAGTCTTTCTGAGACCTACAGATTTGAAGGTGGGCAAGTTCATAAAATGTCACCAAAACCACTGGGAATAAAAGGATTTTAGAGGTGCCCTAACTATGAGCAGCAGTAAGCAAGACTTTGGAAGACTTCCTCTGTGTAAGACACAAACCCCCTTTCTCCTGTGATTCATGGTACCTTAGAACCTTGCAGGATATTACCCATTTCTAAACACCTCTGTGGCTAGTAACAAAATTATTTTACTTTTTTGCTGCTTGCTTCAAGCCAAGCATTTAGTACTTTTTAGTGCTATAAATAAGTGTCTCCACTGCTGCTTGCCTTACTGACTAGTTCAATATCAGCTAAGTTTGGAGCAGAAAGATAATAAAGCTGAAGTTATTTAAAATAAATTTCTGAATCACTGAGGGGAAAACCACAGGCTGCAGATTTGCTTTAGAGTCACAGTGAATTCTATCATTCAAGCATCTGATCCAGAGCACCAGAATGTTACTGGGTTCAATACATTCACTTTTAAAAAGTATTTGTTAACATGATAACCAGTTGCAATTAGTAGTGTGACTGTGTAGTACATAGAACAGAAAAGTTTGTCATTCTTTACCAATGATCCTCTGCTGATTTACACCAGAGGAGACTGGTACCATCTTATTTTGAAAGTCAAAATGAACAACACCCATTTGATGGAGATCGGCCACATTGAAGACAGCACCAGTGCTACTAGGACAATTTAGACTTCAAATTTAAGCTCTTTAGGGATTAAATTCATTCTTCTCAGGAAAAACTATACAAGGCTAATCCAAAATTTATTTTTAATAGGATGTTAGTGATATATTGGGGTTTGTGCTGGCTCCTTGCATGGCTGAGTTTTATTTTATATATATCAAAACTTGTTAAAGGTTCATTGAAAGAATACCTTCCATTCATTTTAACCAGTAAATGTGGAAAACTACTCCAGCTGAACATGTGTTTACTTGGCATCGCAATTAGGTATCAGTAATCTGAACACACGCTGCCTTCTGAGACTGCTACAGCTACACATGCACTCAACACACCAGAAAGGAGGAAATACGGAGGCATATTGCCATCTAAAAATGCCATGCCCTTCCTTCCAGTATATGTCTGGGATCTCGCTGACAGCTTTTGTGGGCTGCTAACATACAGTGGAGACTGGCACTAATAAGCTTAAAACCTATTACAGTTCACTGGCATTAGCTATCTTTCTTAGCAGTAATAAACGACGCTTAACAGCTCAAAATGGCTGGATAAAGTTTGCTCAGTGTTCAGCGTAGCACACACATCCTCTCCCTGCAGCTGAAGAGGAGAGGAGTTAGTTATAGCTGCTAGCTGGGAGGAGGAGGTACAAGGAATGTGTATAGCAAAGCAAAGATCTCAGTTCAGTTAGTGCTAACTATATTGCTGTGCTTAGTTTTAATTGGGTAAGTGGTCTCTGAATGTCAGTGTTTAATCACTCACACAACTGCCTTGCTGAACTACAGCCCCAGTCCTACAGCTGGAGCGGCAAAAGCTCGTGGCTGAGGCACACAGGATGATGACGGCCCCAACACACACATACCAAATGACTACACTGGGATTTCAGGCATGGTCACAGCTTTTCCCAGAAAATGATGAGTGGCAAAGGAGGTAGGAACAACACTTCTTTGGTCCGACCAAAAGAGACCAAAACAGGAGACCAAACAGGAGTGAAAAGACTGCTAATGCACAGCGTACGGCAATTTATTAAGCTACTTGAGCAGTAACCGCCAGATTGCAAATTATCAAACCTGCAGTTTCCAACACCCTCTTCTTTTTTCCCTTGTGTCTGAGGTTTCTTATAAAAAAAAGAATGCTAAAATATCAATAGCAAATTTAGAGTGTCAGGCTGAGCAATAGGGTGGTGAGACAAGCTGATGAGAGAACAGCAAACTTCCTCAGCCCTATTCCAATATGAATTTTAGTGAACTACCCCTGGCTCATTTTCTAGAGATGATGGCCCCATGAACAGGGGGTATGTTTTGGAGCTTTTCAACTCTGGAAGCTTCTTAAAGACACAGAGCTGGTGTCAAAGAGACAGAGATGAGTTACAGCTATGTGCAAGCACCGGCCAGTTTGTTTAGCCATGTCACTGGGAGTGAGTGACTGCCAAAGGAAAACTGCAATCTGAGCTCATCTGGGAACTGGATATAAAAGGAAACAGTCCTTTCCCGGTTTCCACCTCCCACGGACTTCCAACCTCCCTACTATTCACATGCCCTTCCCTTCAGCTGATACACTATGCTGACAGCTACAGCAGTAGATCTCAATACTAAATATCATCAGTATAGCATTTCAAGAGACACACACACACGCACAAAAAAAACCAAATAACCAAGGAAAAACAACAACAAAAAAAAACCCTAAAAACAACAGAGAAAGGGAGGGGGGTGGGGAAGAATTTTTTTCTGCATAACAATTCAGCTTACTTTGCTTCAGTCTCTTTCTTAGAGTTCCCTTTTTGCAGGAGCAGTGTCCTAAAGTCTCTTTTAAAAACAAATACATTAATTTCTACTGTAAATAATCTACCTTAGCTTTTGTGCAAATACAATATCCACTTTTTCATTTTTCATTGAATATATATTGCATATACTTATTCAAACAGAAGTAAATCTATTAAATGACAGATAATTTATATGTAAATGCTATACCTGTAGTAAAACCTCGCATGCAAGCAAGCCTGCATTAATAGGAATTCTCTACATCTTGAGTAGCTTTCAAGAATAAGGTGTGCAATGCAGACCAGAAGAAATTCAGTGGTTTTTTTCTCCACGCAAACTCAGGTTGTCCTGGGATCTTCTAGGCTAATTTACCAACTTGATCCCAGCAGAAAGAGGAGCATGTTAAATGAGACACCTACCGCTGTAGACCCCGAAGATGTGGCTACAAAGACTTTGATCACCATGTTGACAGTGATGAAAATGAATCAGCAGAGCACGCCTGCTATCCACAGGTCACCACAGTCCCAAGAGGAATCCAAGCGTTCAGCAGCTCCTGAGCTAACCTCGGTCCTAAATGGATGCCCCCCCACAGCAACCCAGCAGCTTTGTCCTCTCCCCGAGCTCCCGGGTTTTCCCACTCCATTGGCTCTCAGGTATTTTGGGACGAGAGGCCAGTAGAGGATTGGTTCGTAAGAGGAGCCATAGCAAGGGGTTTGCACCTGCCCCTGGCCTTATTGCATTAGATTGACAGGCTGGCAGTCCAAAAAAGGCAAAGGAGAGTAGTGCACCAATGAGACAGGGCTGGAGAAATATTTGGGAGAGGGGGAAGGGACAAGTGAGAAGGGAGAAGGGACAGGGAGCAGGCAACTCATTGCTGGGGGCAATCACAAAGCTGTCAGGTGGTGGTTAATGTTGCACGGTCAGTCACAGCTACCTCTGGCATAAAAGGGCTTGCGCCCTCTTCCTGACCACAACAAGGAGGGTCTGGAGTTGTAGCTGCAAATTTTACACTATAAAAGGGGAATGAGGAAGGGGCGGGCAAGGGGAGCGTAGATTCAGAAGTAATTATAGCGGAGATCATATTGAAATAAGCCTCGGTTACAAACGCTCTCAGCTTTAAAGAATTCAGATCATCCCCCACACTGCAGGGCTCACGGACTTCTCTGAAATATGTGTCAGTACTTCCTAACACTGAGGAGGGTGATTTGGCTGATTCTACGTATCCAGAATCTATTGTTGTATTTTCTCCTTTTTTTTGCATCACAAGTGAAAATTACCAGGGCATAAGGTGTAGGAGGAGGTCCAGAATACTTGGTAAAAAATATCCCATTCTTCTGTGTTATCCAGGACACTCTTTTGCCTTCTGGTTGTTGCCGTCTGCCGCAGAGATGGTCACAATTCAGTGGCTGCCTGCACGTATTTGCTGAAGGAGGTCTCTAAGCATGAAAGGTATTTTAAGAATGCTAAATGGTAACAGACTACTTTCAAATTTTAAGGGCCAAGCTTGTTTCTGCTGTGAGAACATGCCACTGGGCTCAGTAAAGCTGACCCTATGTCAGAGGTGAAACTGGCCTGGGTTTGAGAAAGTGCTTACACGTATTTCAAATGTTAAGATTGAATATAGCAGTGCCCAGTCCTGAAAATACTTTAAATGGAATATAATACCTTCTTTCCAGGATTTATTAGGTAGGACTGAATGCACAACAGTAAAGATGCTCTTGAAAGTAAGTTTTTTGTCTATGCAAACCATTATGTGAAGCTGGAAATGCAGTATTCCATATAAGGAACAGGGATCCTGAAAAACCTCACTGAAAACTAAAAATAACAGAATGTATAGTTTGCACTGTTTACTGCTGCTCACCATCTGTCATTTCTTTCTTCTTTTGAGAGGCAACAGGAGGTCCAGCAAAAAGAAAGCCTGTTAGAATTGGGTATTTTCAGAGTATGTTCCTATAAAACAACAAGAAAGAAACCCATAAATTATTGTTAGAAGTTATTAAACATGCTTGCTTCTCAGGAGATTGTGTATGTAAGTATAGCCTAGCAAATTCAATGGAAATGACTGGCCGTTCGGAACATACCATTTCCAAATCAATTTATTTGGTTGCTAGTGCTCTGCAGAAGTACAAACAAAAGATGCAGTGGTCATTGCCTTTGAAGCACACTGATAAGCCTTGCAAGTATAGGAATACTAATGATTAATACTCGAAAGGGTAAATATTTGCACCATCAAATGTCCATGGTCAGGGCTGGGGCAAAATTGCCAGTTAACACTCTCTCCTGTCCTACTTCACACCTGAAATGCCCACTGAACTACACGGGGAAATCCAGGACGTGGCCCAAAGCCTCTGCCCACCTCGGGCTTGGCAGGTGAGGGCTTCAGGGCACGATTCCCATCGTGTCCAGCCTTGAGGAGTTATATTGCTGCAGCTGCTTTCATTCATTCCTATGGGATTTTTCCCCTTTCTCAGCATTAAAACGTTTTGTGCCAATATCTGACCGTCAGTTTGGAGCCTGTCGGGTCTGGCCTGCGGGCTCTCAGGGTGCACACCACGCCAGGCCCTGCCACCCGACATGACACGACGGCCACCATGAGGCTCTGCAGCCTACAGCTCACGGCGCAGAGGGACCCGCTGCCTGCCCACAAATTCCCATTCAGTAAGTCCCCGGTGGGGCACAGAAATCAGAGGGCAGAAACACG